GTAATAAAAAGAAAGAAAACTCACGTAATAATTTTTGTGCAGTGATTCATTTATTGTTGAATCGATCGTATAATTTTTTAATTTGCTGTAATCAAGGGCACTTTTGAAAGGATATTTTTTGAAGAACAATTCAGACTTTATTTTAGAAGTATAGAAGTAGAAATTTGAACCTCACCCCTCTCCCTCACGAACGTGTCACGCATCCTTAGTGCGTGTCTTCTTCATCACAGGCGTTATATCAACGGGTATTCGAATTTCACCGATCGGCAAAATTCTCGGGAGTGGGATAGGGCTTGACAAAAGTTGGATGCTCTTTCGCAAGCTGTCATGAAACAATATGAATATATGATATATCTGAAGGTTGAAGCTAAGTGGTTAAAATGTGTATCAAAGCTTACACTCAAGATGTGCTTGACTATGAGCGAGTCATGTTTTTAATAAGAAAAAAAGGAGATTAATATAAAAGAAAAAACAGATAAAGCACAAATTAATGTTTGTCTAACGATGAAGCTAATTAGTTCGACTCGGAAACATCATTCTTGTTTTTCTGTCATTTTCGCCTGTGACAAACAGGTTCGTCAACAAGATGAGTAAGAGACTTGATCGTATCACCTAATGATCTTGTTTTGAATGTGTGTTAAAAATATGACTCACAGACATAGGCACATTTCACCCACAACCTGGATTCATTGGTAATATTGCTTCTTCAAAAATCTGGGATTGTAATGTAGCTGTACCAGTTGTGACTGGCAGAAATCTAAAAATTATTCTCTGAAATCACATATAAAATTTGTGGCTATTACATAGACGAACATAATCTATCAATGTAGTCGATAGGAATCCTTTTATCTATGTTTAATTCACAGTCAAATAGGTGAAATTTTGGAATCTCCTATCAATAAAGTCGCATTGTAATTTGCGGACTACTTCGATATTGCATTTCTCGAAGATTAAATGAAAGAATGGTGAAGAAGTATGTTCCAAACTCGAAACGATAAAACAATCTTCCTGCAATTAGCAACAGTAACTAAAAGATTGATTATGCAAGTTCATGGTTTTTTAATTTTTCGTCATTAGCATGGAACTGAGGAATGGTAATCATCCAAAAAAGGTCTGTAAACTTAACAAAAAAAAGAAAATGCAGCAATCAAGATCTAACTTAGCGATCCAGAGTAATTCAATGAAACTGGAATGATTGAATCGCTTTTTTTCACTAAATTGAGATCGTCTCTGAAGTTATGGATTCTATTGTCCTAAGCTCATTGAAACTCGATCCCTATATTTTTATTTCAAATTTAACTCAAAGTTTCATAGAATATCAATCATTTGGCATCAAGACTCCAGCAAGTAACGATTCTCATGCTACTTTTGAAGATAGAAAGTATGATAGTAAACATGTCATCGGTAAAATATTCAATATTTCTGTTTTTTTTTTAAATTTTTATTATTAATTTCTTAGACGATAACTCATTTAGTGAGAATATTTGCAGCAATTGTCCCTTATGACTTTTAAATGTTTTGCTAATTGAACTCAAGTTTCATTGTCTAAATTTTTTATACTAAGCCTATATAATGATTAGTGGTCACTTCAAATAAAATTCTACTTAAAAATATTCAGAAAGTTTATTTCAGAGATTCAGACATTACAACTCATCGTCCAACAGTTCAAATTTTGATTTTTTCATATTTTAAACTAAATACACTTAAAAATTGTTCTGCTAATCAAAAGTAACAGAAATCTCAGATTGTGATATGTTGACGTGCGTCCTCTGTCGTTTTCTTGTTTACAGATTGGCCTATAACATTATTTGTCATACTTCCATAACTAAGAAGAATGATGGTTAGAAATGATAAATTGATTCCTTTTTGTTTTAAATAAATCGTTTCAACTGGCTTCGTTTCGATCTAGTCTTCAATCTTTAAGTCGATCGGCATGGCAATCATGGGAATCTGTCACTATTATTCCATGTTTGACAAAAAATCGACTTTCGATTCATTTGCTTCATCGTCAAGCATGTCTTGTAAGTACTTGAATATTAAATTTTATTAATATTTTAATATTATTTAGAATAATCAAAGTATATATATCGATCCTGAATCAGGACTACAAGTTCTCACTCGATATGCTCATTTACAACGAGGAAAATGTTGTGGTAATCAATGTCGTCATGTGAGTTCAAGAAAATCTTTTAATTTTGATTATATTTTGTTTTGTTTTTAGTGTCCATATGGTCATATAAATGCTGAAATTAATTTTAGTCGACCTCAAAAAATATTTAATACATCATATTATGAATGATAAGAAAAACGAGAGCATGTGAGATTAAATATTATCATCTTAGTTTTAAATTAATTAAAATATATTGAAATTTCTTAAAATAAGAAAAAACTTTATTTATTTGTTATTAGTAGACATAGTTCTTATTTAATGATTTAAAAATATTTGATAGACAGAATATATTTTATTATTAAATAAATTTAGAAAAATTCATTATCTAATATTCATACATTTTATTTGTCTGATCTTGATGACATTAAAATTTTGACAGAAGCAAATTGACAATGTTTACCATGAAAGATAATCGAAACGCAAACAACCCAATAGTGAAGAAAGAAAATCTACGTGACAAAATAATATATTTTGTTATTTTGACTCGAGAATTATTTGTTTTTGTTGTGCAGTGAAAATAAAATATTTAAATTATGTATATAATATTAGCTTTGATTTAAATATTATGGAACATAAATTTATGTTTATGTTTGAAATAGATGAATTATAAAATAAACAGCATAGAAACTATTAAATCGTTATATAATTCATTTTCTGCTATGCAGACTTTCATGTATTCCAGGCTGACTCAATGTCAATATTAATTAAACAATCCTCCTGGCATACGTATTTATAATCAGAAGTATTCTGAGTTCGAGTAACGTTTTATCAAATTTGACTCTTAAGAATCAAAACTATTTATAAGAAATATTATTAATTAGGAGTCATTAAAATCAAAACAAATTTCGAGATCAAAAATCCAGAATTTCTTTCTTCCCATTTGACGATAGAAACTAAATTCACACTTTTATTACATACTGTCAACGATAAAATGCTGGCTTATTGTATTTTTGATTGATACTTCCATGGATAGTCGAACACAAGCTTTTCAGAAACTTTTTTCTTCTGTAGAGTTCGTTTTACGGATCAATTTGGTAAAAACCGATATTAAAATTCACTGAATAAATCAAGACTCTCCATGAGAACATCAAGATCTTATCGTATAGATTTCGCAATAATAAGCATATAAAAGATAACAAGTATAATCAAGCGCAGTATCAATATTTCAAACGTACTAGAAGTATAAAACTTATTGTATGAATTTATTCTTTCGTCATTTGTTATTTGTCTTGATAAGGACAAAAACAGATCAATAAGTAGACATTATTATTTTCTTATATATTTAGTGACTCACGACATTAAAAAAAATACATTGAATACAAAAAAAAATACAAATTTTCAATACAACAAAAATCGTGTTTATTTTTGTAATGACATAAATAGATTAGTTTTGTTTGAGTTTTTTCTTTGCCATATATAGACAAAACTAAAAAGAAAAAAAACAAATGTAAAATTTAGATATATATATAACAAAATAAGACGTAACAAACTTCATCAAATAGAATATATCCACCATGATTAGTATCAATACGATTAAATTCTTCTCTTAAATGATTATCATTTATATGCGAAAGACCCATAAGTTCATGTCCTTTTCTAAATTCATTAAAACTTATTCTTTTATCCTTATTGGTATCTAATTGTCCAAATAAATCACTTAATTGATTATAATAATATAATAAATCAAGTAAACGGTGAAATTCTTTAAATTCAATAAACCCAGTCTACAAATAAAACATAAATTTTATTCAATAAACAAGCATAAAAACAAAAGACGTACTCCATTCGTATCAGCTGCTTTAAAAGCACGAAGCATAGCTTGACGATTAGTACCAAATTCAGGATACCAAAAGATAATGGCTCGATCAACTTCAGCTAACGATAATATTCCATTACCATTATCAAATCGTTTAAATAACTACATTGAACAGAAGAAAACTTTCTATGCATCGAAATATTTTAATTAAAAAAAAAACTAATAAAATGTACCTTTTTACACTCATCTGTAGTTAAATGTGTAGCCATTGTTGTTGTATGATATAACAGAATATGTTATCCTTGAAATATAATGCCAACGCAAAAAAAAAAATAAGTGAGCGTAGTTTGTCTTCTTTTTTTTTTTCTTTCCTTGCTTTTTTGATAGTAAAGTGAGCAAGAGTTGACTCTTTTTAGTAGAATAAAGAACAAAAATAAAAGAAAAAAAACAGAAAGCCGACTTCTTTTCTCCCAGCGTTCACCCAACTGTGATAAGTTTCTGTTATCAAAAATTCATCCGGCTTTTCATGTTTGACAAGGAAAAGACAAAATAGAATATATAAAATTATTGTCTTGCAGTATAGTTTTAAATGAATATTAAGAAAAAAAAAATCATCAATAATAAATAGACAAAATAAAACCATCGAATTTTTGTTGTTTTACTATTAATAATATATAAATTTGCCGAAAGATATTATTTCAACAAAGAAAATTGCCTTGCAAATGGTAAAATAAAAATAATCATTCGGAAGAAATTTCTTTGATAAACAAGCAGAAAAGCTTTTCCTATTTAAAACAATGACAGATTCTATTGATTTTTAATCGTATTTATTTATAGTCTAAAACTTTTTTCGAAATGATGAAAACACCGTGAATATTTTTTATGATTACTTGCCAAATAGTGATTGATAATTCTTTCCTTTGCTAAATTCAATCGTTTGACGAACATATCAGTGGCAATATATTCACCAAAATAATTATTTTATTAATAAATTTATTCAAATAAAAGTTTCTAATATCATAGACAAGTAAAACTAGTATTTCTTAAAAATATCGCTCATAAAATCTAAACATCTACTTGAAATTTAGCTCTGATAAACTTTTGTTAGCAATTTCATTTATTCATCATATATAATCCGCCACTTATGACTATAATCCACTAGTGATAAAACTCTGTAACTATAACAATTATTATTTTGTTAAACTCTTTTACTACTACGAATTCTCCAATGAAAATTTCTTGACAACTTTATATTTACAATACTTATTATTGAGTATTGATATTTTCATTCAAAGTATTATGAAATTTCTAAAACCAAAGTAGTTCAAAAATGAACATATTTCTTTTAGAATGAAAAAAGTAATCAATATTTTTATGTGAGCCTTTACTTGTACTACAAATAGCACGTTTCCTTTGATTGTTAACCATTGAAGGTTGCAACTGTCTATCATTTGATATACCAAAGGATGTTGTCTTTTCTGGTTATCTATTCCTGTTTCTGTTGGCCTCATTTAAAGGCTATGCTTATTTTCAAGTTTTTTTACGTCTTCAATCAGTTTTATGACGATCGATGACAAAAGCTCGAGATATACTGAATTATAATCAGTCTGAATTTTAAATATAATAATATTTTAAATATAATATTGATGACCTTCCATAGACTCATCATGTTTGCTATTAGACATGGATCGAACCCGAAGATTCTAGTTACGGATTCTGTCCAAAATGAACAAAGCGTTTTGATATTACTAGACTCTTTATTATAATTTTAAATGTTTTCTCATTTTGTATTTTTGCTTCTGATTATATCTTGTATAAAGCCTTCAAATATAGGCAAACATATTTTCTAGTATACCTGCCAGTTGATCTTCTCTTTTGTATATAGTAGCTGTTTGGGTCGATCAAAATCAAGGATACAATCTGCTCTAACATTCTCTCTTGAGTTTTATTATTTTCAGGCATGATAGTTTGTAATGTGTTGCAAAAAATGTCACAAATAAAAGCTACTTTTTCGTATGAAACACAAACTCCAACGTGAAGTGTTTGGTTCGAACACTGAACCAGAGTTCCGAGCAAATGAATGTCGATTTACTACTTGATTGACTTTAAGAGTCTTATGGTTGCTACATGGATGTCAGGATGTCCCAAAAGTCAGCTGTGAAATATAACTTCTAAGAATATTCTATGAAAGGATAAAAAGCTCACGCGAATCAGTTGAATCATTGAAGAGCTATTGCAACTTTATTTCATGACTGACATTCAAGACATTCTGTATACATCGGCATGACTTCTATACTAGTTCGCGTTCACTAGCTATTCAAAAATCAAGCAATCGAAAAAAATGTGTCACTTCGTTACGACGCCTGTATTTTAAGAATTATTGAACAATATATGAAAGAGAGTTCTGCTAGCGATCATCATCAAGATATTTTCACTAGACAATTCTTTTTTTAAAAGTTATTATAAGTGATTACATCAATATAATCGAAAAGGATTTATACTCTACATTAAAGCTATCACTACCATCAAAAGCTAATTCAATTATTTATTGTTTAATCTTTGTAGAAAAATTATATTCAATAAGTAGCTTTTTTCGTATTTGTTTTTATTTTTACGATGTTCTTCTAAACTCCGAAACATAAAAACGCAAGTAACTACAATTGATCGTAGAGTGCAAAACAATAATCACCGGATAAATAAAAATTATCACGTATGATAACACATAGTTACTATGATAACAATGTAGTATTACTTATACTTCTTTAAAAATTTCTTTTATTCATGCTTTAGCAATCTTAAAATTATTGAATTTTAAAAATGTTGACAAACGCTAATAAATAACATTATAGAATCATTTTATTTGCTATTGAAAAAGAACTTTTTAGAGAAAAAAGATATACAAAAAAGTAATGATAAAATAAATTTTTCGATTAGTATGATACTTCTTTCTAAAAAAAGACGCAGAATTCAAAAATAGCAAATTTTTTTATAAAATATCACTTCATTCTTTACATATAAATAAACGTTATTTTTTTGTGAATTTCTATATGCCTTCATTTTACGAACAATAATATGAATTCATTTATTTTCTAATTCAAGAAAACGAAATTAATAAGAATATTTTTGTGAGTTTTCGTGCTCATTCATTCGATCTTTCTTTTTTCTCTCTGACAACTTATGTTAGATATCATAATCAAGGATGACATCCATGGCATCCAAATACTTATATTATATTATATTGCACAAGGTAAAATAGGTGATATCCCTAAGGCACGCCTTTCTCACGTGTTTGGAGCTAAATGACTGCAATAGTTTCTTTTACAAAAAAATGTCTATAGATGCAATATCACCATCATGGCAACATTTACTGTTT